TAGCAATAGTTCTCTAGCTACGTTCAAAGGTTAATAGTTTTAGATTACAAATAGTTCCATATAAGGGGAACTCAGCTATACCACTTGCGTCATGTGTCTCATGTTCAGAGCATAACATCATCTAACCTTCACAATAGCCCTGTAACTCTCCGCATTGCTTCCTTTCTAGAGGCAGAGGGAGATGCATTGGTATGTATAAGAATTAGGACTGGGGGCTGGCTTATTCCCAGGCCTATGCTCCCTGAAGCCTGGGTGGCTAGTGGGTTTAGAAATGAAACTTAAGAGGCTCCATACTAGTTCCAATCCAGCTGTGGACAGGAGTGACCCAGTTGTTACTATCTGCCTAGTTGGCTGAGAGCTTGAGTGAAACAAGGTGGGTTTCAATCCCAGTTCCTAGCGAACAGGTGTTGGTAGTACACACTCTCTGGTACTTTTGTTGGCAGCCTCCATTGAGAGGTTAAGGACTGAACTACCCCTGTGCTTAGAGGAGCAGCCAAGTTCAGTGCTTAGATTTGGAGTTCCTGTTCTCTAGGCCCACCTACTCTTGTCCCTGTAAGTGGTGTCTCGTAGGGCAGGCTTGACGCATGCTGTTAGGGAAGCTTGCGCCATGGTTACTCTGCTGCCAGGAAACTGAAGTCCTCTAGCACTAAGCAAGGGCAACAGCAAGAGAAATCGGTAGTGTCTGCTGGCCTTAAAGATGATGCTGTCCATTCTCTCTCTCCAGGTATGGAAATGAGATGGTTTACAAAGGATACTTTAATGATAATCTGCGTCAAGGATTTGGCATCCTGGAAAACCCTTCAGCAGAGCAGCCGTTTAAGTACACAGGGCAGTGGGATAATGACAAGAAGAATGGATATGGAGTCTTGGATGACAAGGACAGGTAATGCTGTGGAAGGGAGCTCAGCAAATGTTCACAACACCTGTTTTCAGCATTCCTTGGTCTGAAGCATATTCGACTTGAACTTGAGACGGGAAAAGTTTGAGCTGTACTGAGGGTTGGAAATTCTGTTTCACAGAGGATTTTAAAATTGGGTTTCATTCCAATTGGGAACAAACCCCCAACACTCTGAAATTCTCCATGCAAGAAACATTTTAGAAAACCCTAATTTTGGATCGATTGAGACACTTTATTTTGATTTCAACCTTATTTCTGTTTTGAAAACTAAAGTTTTCCAAACCAATTTTTTTTTAAAGCAAAAAATTGAAACCCTTCATTTGAAAATCCTGAAGCAGGATATGGAGATGGTTGGAACTCTTTCTAGTTGTGTCAATTTTCATTTTGGAGAACAAGTTTGCAAGGTGACCAGATTTTGATGGAACTGCACTTCCAACAGATAAAGGGTTCCATCAAAGTTCAGCCTCTAGCGGGAACACCTGAGATGACCTGATATTGATGTGGGTATGCTGACCTATATGATTGCCTTGGAACAATGTAATGATGCCAGAATATCAAGTTTAGAACCATGAGTGCCCCTTGCAGCAAAATCTCTGTTGCAGTGCATTGCAATAGCAGTGTCTGAGTTGCAATGACTTCAGGACCAGCTAATGTTCTGCAAGTTGTGTGCAGGATGGCTGTAGAAAGAGTGGGATGAGCGGGGGCCCCTTGCGTGCATCACTCTTCCGGCAAATGGAAATGTATATCTGCGTTTGTGACTGGGTGGCTGTTAAGTACGTTACTGATATAGGGTCAAAGAACACTGAAAAGCAACATTGTTAAATCAACAGTACGTGGACTGAATTTCAAACTTTGATCAACAAAATATCTCTCTGGCTTTCCAAAGGCTTCTTGCACAATCAACTGACCTGCTCACAAGGGTTTGTGTAGGAAATCTTTAGCATGTCGCCAAGATGGGAGGACTTGCGATGTGTGTGGACAGCTCTAGCTTGCTGGACTATGTCCTGTCCCTCAGTCAACCATGGGCTTGTAAGCAGGTGTCCCCTGGTTCCAGTTGCAAAGGAGACACTCGGATCTAGTCTCTGGGGGAGGTGTTCAGAGGGGTTTGACTATGCTACGATCATGGTCCAATCAACACTTCCTCCAGGTTAAGGTTGGTCCCTGCTGCCTTCCTACCAACGCATAAGACTTAGAGCTGCCTCATTCAGAGCAGATCATCCTCTCTGGGTACCAGAGCTCTCTGGAGGATTCTACCTTGTCTCTGGGCTGGGTGCAGTTAACCGGGAGGAGATCTCAAAATAATCACCAATGCCTTTGATCCATAGATAACCCTTCCTTTTGCCACAGTCTGCACTGAACCATGTGACAGCTAGGGAGAAGCCTGGAAGACAAACAACTACATTGGCTGCATCGCAGGAAATGTATACCCTAGTGGATGCTCAGGCCTTATCTATGCTAGAATTTTAGCCTTGCTTTTCTGCTGTCAAGTAAAGGCTTGAAACGGGGGAAAGCACTAGCAGAGTAAATAATGGCTTCCATTGTATATACTGTAGGGAGGAGGCTTTCACCCATGCAGCTACACTGATGGGTGACATCTGGGCTAACATCAAAAGGGGGGGGGGGAGTCTGACATCCATGGCTATATGAGATGCAGAGACCTGACTGGTGGCACCACTCCAGATAGCAGAACCACCCAGCCTGCCTTTCTCAACTTACTAAATCTGTCTCTAATTCACATACTTAAAGACCTGCCCAAAGTGGATGTTCAAACAATCCCTGATGTCTTTCAGAAGCTGTCCACAGTATAAGGATCAAACTCACACCAGGTGTAAGCAAGCATCTTCTTTCACCTGGTGTGAAGCTGGCTTATTGTCTTAGTTCTCAGTGGTCTTGTGCAAAGCTCTCCAATGGTGGTGTATGAAGGCCTCCTATCTTGTGTTCCAGAGGGGAGAGGTACATTGGGATATGGCAAGATGACCACAGGCATGGACACGGCATTGTGGTGACCCAGTCAGGCCTGTGCTACCAAAGAACATTTCATGCGGATAAAATGGTGGTGAGTAAATAACTTTCCTGTGGGTACTTTAGTCAATAGACCATGGAATCCCTTATCTAGGGGAGGAGAAAAAGATGAGAACACTCTCCTTATTAAAGTAAGAATCTTTCAGGTGTGTAGGAGGCAGTATGACTTAAGCACTGGTTTCTTACCACAAGATCATCCCTTAACTTGAGGGGAAGCCGAGAACATTTTATGTGATGGGACTACCCCATAACTACCGGCAGCCCCAGGCTCTGCGTTTTTCACCACCTCCCTAAGGTGCACCCACATCTGAACTGGTACATATGGGGTGTCAGTACCTGCTGGTGATACTAGAACCAGAGGACACTACGTGAAATTGAAAGGAAACATACATATCTGTATTAGAGCAGTCCCTAGGAGACCCAACCATGAAAGGGGCCCCGTTATTCTAAGTGCCGTACAGGCTTGTAACAACTAACCTGTAAACTCTTCAGGGTGCAGGCAAAGTAACAATTAACACGTGGAAGCTGTTGCCACAAAGTTGTCCATGGGGACCAAGCATTTAGGAATATTAATAAAAGGATTATCCACTTGTATGGATAATGAGAACCCAATTTCACTAGCAAATGACTAGAGATGGACAGAAAACGGAAATCTCTTAACACATAGCAATTTAATCCTGAATCAGGACAAAGTCAAAAACACGACCCTTTTTCCTGAGAACTGAAAGGGAATCTGTTCCTGGCTGCTGACCTGGAAGACGCTAGAAAGTGAAATTGACAAGAGTCTATTAGGTGGGCAGCCAGGGAGCTGTCACCTCACTTTTCCCTCAGAAATATTTAATTTTGCAAACGGAGCATTTTCCATGGGAAAATCATTCTGCTGGCAGGTTCCCAACCAGTTCTAAAAATGACATGTTGTGTGCACGCCCATCCGTACGTCCGTCCTTTCGGTTTTAGGGCCTAAACAAACAGTGACCGAAGTCCTGAAGCAACTTCCCCATGGGCACAGTATTCTATGTTTGGCCACTGCAGAGTTTCTTGTTGTTTCCTCTGGAGCATGCACTACTGTAACCTTTGGATTTCGTAGATGCTGACACCAGTCGTTATTGGGATATGTAGTGGAGTCATACTTATTACTTTACTGGCCACAGTCAGAGAAGGGATACTGAACTAGGACCGACCACTGGCTTGATCTGTGTGGTAATTCCTTGGTTCTTATTGTACCACTGGCCACTTAAGTCAGATGCTTGGGACAGGAAATCCATCTCTAACCAATATTCCTGTATGAAACACTCTTATTACACCCCTTCCTACAAGAAAACTCCTTTCCCACCTAGTACCTGATAGCTTAGAGTAATACACCATCTCCCTCCCCACTATAACTTGCCATACACACTGCACCCCACAAATGGCATGTGTCAGTGTGCCCATGTTTGTTGGACAAAATGCAATGACTTAATAGAAATCAACGTGTCTCATTCACCACTCTGCACTCAATGGCTGTTTTATCACTAGGGTTCTGGGATTCTCCTCTTAGAAGATGACTCCGTTTATGAAGGCAACTTCACAAGAGATCTGACATTTGTTGGAAAGGTGAGCTGCTTGCCTATGCTCAACCCTGCTGTGTTACTGCTAACTTTCAAGAAAGCTGGCAATCCTGTCCCTCAACGTTCATACTGTTTTTTTCCTATTAGTTACAGCTCCTTTTATCACACTAGAAATTTTACAACAAAGGGTTAGCATGGCCCCATGTCTTCTGTGATTCTACAGCTGCAGAATCCGATGCAACCTTTGTTTTTTGAGTTTCTAGCCCTCATGGTGGCTTACAGAACCCCACAAATTGGAACAGTGCAAACACAATGCTTTGGTACCAGAGTCTGAACTAGCCTGAAACAATAGCTCAGAGGTGTGAGCAGCCCTATTTGTTCCAGTGGCTTCACTTTGAAACGTGAAGATGACAATTTAAATCAACACGTTGAAGCGTTTCACGGTTGATCGTGAACAAATATACAGCTAACGCGCTTCGCTTGCAAAACCTCCAGCTTGTTACAAAAGTCCACGCCAGGTCAAACAAGGAACGTGAGGGTAGTATCACAATGATTTTAATATAGTGACTTACAATTCATACAGTGGTGCTCAATAACACATGCTAAGCATGGATCTTTGTCTCCTTCTAGTGGCTAGTCCACAAGAGGTTGATGGGTCTGCCACATCTTACAGCTAGGGTACTAGGGGTGAGTTTTCCTAAGTCCAACTAAAGCACTTAGACACAACTACCACTGAAATCAATGTTGGGTTTGAAAAGGTCTGTACTTGGGATCAAGCCTTGATCCCTGGTTCACATCCTAAGAAGGGCTGGCTCTACTGAATTACTTCATTTCTGAGCTCATTAAACCTCCTAGCCTGAATCAAGCTACCACAGAACTTCCCATCTGCCACCCAGAGTGCTGCAAAATCCAGAGACCTTGTCTCACAGAACAGGGCTTGCCTTGGTAGTAAAAGGCACTCAAAAGGGATCCATTCTTGCAAGCTTTCCAGGTGCACATGTAGTATGCATTTCCCTCTGCTCATCTCACTGCCAATGATGCCAAACCCGCTGGTGCCTTAAGGAACAGGGGAGAAACTAAACAAGAATTAGACTTCCAGATTGTACATTCACTGTAGCTTGGAGGTTTATCCATCTCTCTAGATTTAGGCCAGGAACTTCAGAGCATAGAAGCAATGATTAACACCTAGTCCTACTTGCCACATTGGACCCTTGCTTTGCATTTCTAGCTGGATTTCCACATCCGGAGTCCTATCAGTATGAGCAATCTCATTCGACTCAAATAGACTTCTGTCTCTTGGCTCCTGGGATCTCCTGTCTTTGTGTCCTGTCTATTCTCTGGCATTGGGAGTGCTTTCAATGTATAGCCCTTCTAGTGGAAATAACCTTCTTAGGCTTCCTTTTAGGGATCGTTCCTGCTTGTGGGCTTCACAAGAGGGGGATTGGAACCTTATCCAACCTCCTGCCAAGTGAGAGCTCGATAGAATAACCCCTTTATTTTTTTGTTTCAGGGAAAGCTGACCTTTTCCAATAGCTTCATGCTGGAGGGCACCTTTAGTAACAAATCAGGCCAAGGGCTTCAGACGCAAGGAATCCTGAACACTTCCAGCGACCAGCAAGCTGCCTCAATAACCAAAGTGTGAGTGGCTGTAAATAACTCCGCGGGCCGTGATTTGTATTCCATTCGCACCGAGTCACCACTGCGCAAGACGCTGTACATCTAAGTCAGACAGCTCCTACCCTAGAGAGCGGAATCTAAATAAGCAAGGATGGCCAAAGGAGAAAGAGAACCCTCCCCCCCAGTACAGATGAGGTTCTGATGTGCAGATGAATTGACTTTCCCAAAGCCACCTACAGAACCTGAGGAAAAGCCAGGATTTGAGTCCAATCCAGTGCCTTAAGCACAAGAGCATCCTTCTCTCAAAGTCTTGAGGGTTTTTTGGAGGCGCAGTTTCTAGCCAGAAATCCCATTCAGAAAAGCTTGCTACCTAGAAGGGTTGTTAAGCACTGGAGCAGGTTGCCTAGGGAGACTGGAATCTCTGTCACTGAATGTTTTTAAGAACATGTTAAACACCTGACAGGGATGGCCTAGGTATACTTGGTCTTGAGGTCTTGAGGGTCCCTTCCCCCCTCCCCTTACATTTCTATGATTCACAAGAAAGGGGGAGGGGGTCCAGTACTTGATCCACTCCCTGCCCCCTTCTTGATGCTCATGCTTGCAGTGTACTGACCGGTGTGGTAGGGAGTTAGAAGTGACAGTGATCCAAGGACATGTGAATTGTTTAGCAGAGCATGGCTAGCTCGAATTAGGAAGCACAGTGGGTAAGTTGAAATATCTTTCTGGGTGGTCAGAGCTCTAGTTTCTTATGCAGCAGTCACTCCCTGACAGGTGACAACATGAAAGCAGGCGACAGTAATTCTGACTTGACCCCAATGGCCAGATTCCTACAGCACAGAACCTGTTGCAAGGCCCCCAGCAGCAGAGTCCTCTGGAGTGGGGTGTAAGATGCCCACAACCTCCCTCTCCACTGGGGAGACCCATATTTAGCCATTGCAACCCAACTGGGAGTGGCCGAGGCAGCCGGGTGATGCACATTGCAGCAGGGAAGTTCTGGATCAGTCTCCACCACACGGTTCCCAAGTTGACCTCTCTTGATACAACTCATGAATTAAGGCAGCAATTGGGATGCCGCCAGCCTTCCTCTGGGATGAATTCCTGGACATGCACCCCAGCTACATCATTTCCTTCTCCCCAGGATGCTTCCTCTCTGCTGGTGGCTGGTGCCTCTACTCTGCGAGAGCCAGTCCTGTTTCCTCTGCTTGTGTAGCAGCAGCTACCAGCAGAGGTAGCTGGCCTGGCTCTGTTACCAGCTGCTTCCTGAGGCTCTTAAGCGAAGAGCCTCTATAGCTGCAGAAGCAGGTGTAAGCAGGGAGAGCAGCACATAACACATATCTAGTCTACCTTAGGCCACCAATAGTCCATGTGCCATGCTTTGGGGCCCCCTGGCCAAATGCATCTCATTGGCAGCAGAATAAATCTAAGCTGACCTCTGCTGAACTTTGCTCCTTGTTATATCCTCTAGGATGCTCCTAAATCTCTCTGCCGCAGTGGTGGTTGGGGCGAAAATGTGTTCATGAGATGATTAGAAGGGGGGGTCGGTGGCAATGTAGGAGTGGGGATGGAAGCAAGGCGTAACTTCATCTTTGTTGTGCAGTCAGCTGGGTCTTGATGAGTTCCCGGTGGAGAAGAGATGGCAGGGAATCTACGACCAGTTTCTGAAATTCCTCCACTCTGGCTGCAAAGAAGAAATGGAGGAGTCCTTCACGGGGTTCCATATACAGACAAGCAAGGAGCTGCGCAAGTCTCAGGAGTACCTCTTCTGCCAAAGGTGACAACTGGCTTGTGCAGAGGGGCGCAGCGGTGCATTGGGCTAGTGCGTTCAATTTTGGGGTTCAAGTCTTGACCTCAGGCTCGCAGGAGTGATTGGACAACCCTGGGTGGCATGGCCTCGCTGGGGCAGGTGTGTTCCAGGAGGCTAGAACCAGACACTTCCTCATGATTACTGTGCAGCTAATACTGTTCGATGCCGGTGTTCACCGAACACAACGGTGCTTCTGGGGGGAGAGAATTAGGGAGATTCAGCTGCTCAAGCTTGACTTATACCCTGCTTGATATGCAATTGGGAGGGATCCCGGTGCCTCATTGGCTGGTATAAGCCCCCTAAGAATGGCTTAGCCATTAAACTATGCTTCAGAGGGAGTGGGAAAGGTGGAAAAATAACTCCATATAAATGAAGTAACCTGGGGAGAGAGTCATTGAGATAGACCATGAACATAAGGGGTGGGGAGCTGACTCTCCTCTGCCTTGCGAATCTGTTCATACTGTGCCAAGGGCTACCGACTCAGAAGGGTAACACATGATTACACAGAATGCAAGGTAGGCAGCAGTTAGGCGCAAGGGGTGAACCACAACTCCTCCATCACCGTTGTACTCGTTTTCCTCCCTCGCAGGGGGCCCGAGGATGTCTCTGGGAAGATAGAAGATGTCCTTGAAGAACTAGTGCAGCATCAAGAGCTGGAGTCGCTCCAGTGTTACTTACAAAAGGTACCGCTCAAAATGCACTGTGTGCCGAGGCTCTGGAGCACCCAGAAATGTGAGGAGCCCACCACAAAAAAGGAACACGGTCCCTGTCCTGTAGAACACCTGAATTAGGGCTCCAGTCCTGCAAACTGTCCGTGCAGGCAGAGCACCGCTGGATCGACACTGAGCTGGGCCTGAGCTAGCGTAACATAAGCGAGGGCCCTCAACAGGAAAAGTGGGGTGGGAATGGGACATGAAGGACGAGGGGACAATTCCATCCTGTGGCTGCTCTGTCAGGTACAGACACGTTCCAGAGGCTTATGGTCACTTGGTTGCTTTTCCTCCCCTTCAAGTGAAATTCAGCTTGCTGGCTGCCGAGTCCCTGCAATGTGAGAGCAGAGTGTGAGGACATAAACACAGCCATGCCTTACATAGTAACTAGAGACCCCCTGACCGGGAAGTCCCCATCTTATGTAGCCCCCCCTGAAACAACCACTCTTTTTCTCCGGTGACTGGGGAGAACCAGGAACTCTAACCAATCCGCAGCCAGTAACACCCGGAGTTTTCTCTTCTGAGCGCTATGCGAGCTTTAGTGCTGGTGAAGAAAAGGGTTAGCTGGACTGCCTTGGAGAAGAAAGCTTCATGTCTAGTCTCTCAGCACAGGTTCTGGCAGTACAAGTCTACTGTTGTGTTGGAAGGACCAGCCCCAATGGGCAGTTCAGTCTCCGCCATCCCTTGACCTCTGCTGAGAGAGCCTGACCTTGCTTCCCACGGAAGGTCAATGGCAAAATGCTATTTGTAGCGCCATGGTGCCTAGAGGCACCCATTGCTGTCCTTCAGTGCGAGCAGGATTGGGTCAAGAGAATAGCAGCATTTTCCAATAGGATATGGACCTAAACAGTATCCTGCCAGGCAATGTTCCCTCTAATTTTTGACAGGCCCGTGTGTGCAAAAAATTTCTTCTGTGCAAATCTTTGTGCTTCTGTGCAAATTTTTGTGCGTGTGGTGTTTCGCTGTGTGCGTGAGGTTTAGGATCTGTGTGCACGCACACAGCTTAGAGGGAACAGTGCTGCCAGGCCACCTTAAGGCCTAGCTAGAGATTGAGCTGGGTGGCTCTCCATCCTTAAGGAGGCTACATCCCTTTGGGATTTGCCCGGATATGGACCAAGGCCATCAGCTCATCTTCCCTAGACTGAACTGTCTCACTGGCTAATCAACGCCTTGGTTTTGATGGCCCTCTCCTGCCAGTCTGAAGGGAGGACTCACCCTTGCAATCCATCCCTTAACAAATGCAGAACTTTCCTCCACTGTCTTGCAGGCTTTTAAGTCTTCCCTGCACCCACTAGGAAAACTGCTGAAGGCCCTGACGTTCGCTTTTCAGGCTACATACTCTGGGATCGGGGCAAACAAGCACCTACTGAACATGGCCCAAGAGGAGGTCAAGTACTATGCCAAGAAAATATGGGAGTTTTACCGGTAAGTCCAGTGTGTAATTGGCTTCCATGCAATCGTATGCTAGTGAGGAACACTTGTTAGGTAGGCAATCTAATTCATTCCTGTGGGGGCTAGGCCCTGGATTAGTGCATCTAGTACTTCTGTGCAATCCGGTTGCTTTCCATCAGAAAACTTCCTTCAGATGTGTATCTCTTTAGGTGTTCATGCATATGACCCTCATCACTGTAGTACCTAGGTAAACTTACTCCCTTTTACTCCATATACAGTCTTAGCAACATAGGACTTGCCAGCCTGGATCAGATGCATGGTCCTTCTAGATAATTTCTTATCTCTGGCAGTGACCAGCAACAGATACTTCAGAGGAAGGGGTGAGAAATGCCATAATGGGCAGATGTGAGGTAATCTGCCCCCATGAAGTCTCATGAACTATAGTTGAAGGAAGTACTAATGTGAAAAATGGCTATGGGGAAAAAATAGCTCTGTCTTAATCAACTGATCTGTTTTGTATATTCAAGGGTGTATCTTTTCACCCTAATGCCTTCAGAAAAGCAGTTTTGTCTTTTACTCCTCTGCAATTGGCAGAGCCAACCCAACTTGCAGAATGGGTTGGATTCTGTTCCTCCTTGGGCATCAGCAGGCTGGCTTACTAACAGCCAGTCTGTTAGGGCTGTGTGGACCCACTGAACAGAAAATGGCTGCATGGCCTAACTTCATCTTCAGAACCTTTCTTACTGGTGATAGGTGAGGAGGAAGAACCCAGCTTGGCTGGCTGTGTTCAAGGCTGGCCACTCAAAAACCCTCCAATTGTAAATGGAACAGATTTGGCTTAGAAATTATTGACAGGAGTCCCATGATGCCATTTTTAGTTGCCTTTCAGAGTAGAGCTGCACTTTAAATCTGTCTATTTTGCAGTTGACCCATTAGGCTCACAGGTGAACTGAGGAATTGTCCAGAACAAGAAGCTTTTGGGCATTTTATTCCTTGAGCCCATATGCTGTCTAGGGACAGCATTAAAGTGCCTTGGAAAAACGTTAAAGTGGAATTGGAAAAGGTATGGGGAAGGGCAACTAACATGGTTAGGGGGTATGGAACAGCTTCCATACGAGGAGAGATTAATAAGACTGGGACTTTTGAGCTCGGAAATGGGCTACTAAGGGGATTATGACAGAGGTCTATAAAATCTTGATGGGTGTGGAGAAAGTGAATAAGGGAAATGTTGTTTACTCCTTCTCCTAACAAGAGGTAGAGGTCACCCAATGAAATTAATAGGCAGCAGGCTGAAAACAAATGTAAGGCACTACTTCACACAAGGCACAGTCAACTTGTGCAACTTTTTGCCAGGGGACAATGTGAAGGCCAAAAGTATTGTGGGCTCAAAAAACTAGATAAGTTCAGGGAGGATAGGTCCATCACTGGCTATTAGTCAAGATGGGCAGGGATACACCATGCTCTGAGTGTCCTAGCTTCTGTTTGCCAGAAGCTGGGAGTGGACGACAGGGGATGGATCACTCAATGGTTGCTCTGTTCTGTCTGTTCCCTCAGAAGCACCTAGCACTGGCCGCCGTCAGAGGACAGGATACTGGGCTAGATGGACCTTTGGTCTGACCCAGTATGGCTGTTCTTACATTATGTTGTCTCTTCTAGAGATTTAATCCTTTCCCAGCTGGATTCCTTATGGATGCTGGTGATATGCAAACTCATTCTAGCAATGTATTACATTCATCTGTTAGCTGACACTTAAGCCTACAGAGTATCTTCAAATATTAAACCCCTTCCCAGCAGGGGAAGTATGGCTGCCCCCAGTCCAGAGAGCTAAAATAATTCTGCAGAACAAGTCATTCCATCTTCAACAAAGTATCCACTCCTTTTGAATGCACTAAGTAAGCTGTTTGCCTCCCCTGTACCCGTTACTGTTACAGCTGCCAAATTTGTGGGGGCAGGGGAGAGGATCTGACTATGCTAATTAGTAAATGACTGAGTTGCCCTTGAAACGGAGACACTAAATCATCTTCTTGCCTTTCAGGGGTTTACTGCATCTGGCACTGGAGCAGAAAGGCCAAGCGCTCGCAGAGACGGAAGACAGAGGGAAAAGGTGGCTGGGGTTAAGGGTCACTTGGTTTTAAATCCGTGTCCGTTCTACCTCGTCCAAAGAAACATCGGGCACGGAGGCCATCCTATTTCCCAGCCTTTGGTTGTGGGAATAATTCCAAATAGCTGGGGCAACCACACTTCGGTGGGAAACTGTTCTAACAAATTTTCACTCGTTCCCACCTTAGGGACTGGACACCGTGTTGGTTCTGATGTTGGATGTGAGCTCAGAAACCACTGAAAGAGAGGCCTCTCTGAAATGTCAGAGGAAATAAAACCTCAACTAAATGAGTCACCTGGTTGAGCATTGCTTTATGTGGGGCAAAAGGGATGAACGATTCCTTCCTGACCTCTGTAGACAGTGTCCTGCAGTCTGAGATCTGATTACTCTGATCTTAAGACTACAAATGTTCTAACCTATGTTGGTCACAAAATTCTCCAGTCGCAGCACTGGACTCTAGGAAGATGGGAGCGGGGAGAAAGATGGACACATCTTTAAGGTGTTATATATTGAGCCTTAACTTGTGCCTTGTGTGGACGCAACCTTTAACAGACTGATACCAACAATCAGTCGGGCTCATCTTTGGTTTCCTCTCTAACTCAGTGACCTGAATGCATACAGAGTGATTCTGCCTCTGATCCTGCCCTGTTTCTATCCGGAGCTCTTCATGCTGTACATGCTCTATCATGAGAAGGAAGATGACCTCTACTGCCAAGGGATTGTGGACCTGAGTTTATTTCCTGACATTAAGCTGCTAGAGTTCCTGGACGTACAGAAGTGAGTAACACCACGCTGAACGAATCTCCCAAACAGCTGGGAGAACAGTCTCTGCAGGGAAGAGTTCTGATGGGGATGGGAAGCAAGAACTCGCCAATGGACCCTACGGTTCCAGGACCCATTATTAGTCCTAGTGCTTAAACTCTTCCTGAGCAGCAATGTCAGTTCCTTGATGGGGTTCCTGTAACATACAGTGCTTTCCTACAGGTCAGCGGTACTCTTAACGGGCCAGGGCTTTAATTTCCCATGCTCATCTTGTTCCCTTCCTTTCTGGATGTCTCTTTTGAGCAAGTGTCTTTCCAGTTGCTTTACCACGTGAATGGTTTACTTGAAGTTAGAAGGGTCCCACAGCATTATGGAGAATGGCAATTCAGAATTGAAAGGAGCAACATGTTGTGGCATAAGCCTGATTCTCCACTCTGTTACGACTGGTTCTTAAAGTGGGGTCATTCCTTTCGGTTCAGTAAATCTAACTGTTACTGGTTCCAGGCCAGTGCTAGAGTGGAGAATCAGAATGCATAAGTCTCTGTCCATGGTGGTGATTCCACAAACCCTTGCTCTTGGTCAGGGCGAATGGGTGAGTGAGAATTTAGACTCTAACATGGGGATGGGGTAGAGAATAGATCTGCACGTCATAACTGCCCTGTCTCTCATCTCATTTCAGACACCTGTGGCCCCTCAAAGATCTCACCCTAACAACCAATCAGGTAAGTAGCAGTGCTGGGATAGATCCTCAGAGTAAACTGGGGTAGCTCCAGCAACTACGGTGAAAGTGGTTAAACTAATGGGGCCGTGCCGAATTATACCAGGTGAAGACCTGGGCCTTTGTATTTAGATATGCTTCAAATAACACATCAGTAGCAGATCATGGACACCAGAGCATTGGACACAATAGATGCAGGATACAGAAAAGATATGGACAATAGACTTCCAGTATTATCAATAAAATGTCTATCTTATAAGTAGAAGGCATTTCCACACTTGCAGGAGTTTATCTGTATTATGACAGTTCATAGAGACCCTGGTGCTAAGTACTAATTTCCTTCCTGTCCTAAATGGTT